GGTTAGATAGAAATTGTCCCATATTTTAACGGTATTGAATTTTTTTTTTTTCAATTTGTGATTTGGAGATATGATTTAATGATTATATTACTTTTAGGCAGGTCCTTTGTATTTGTTGATCCTTAAGATTCTCCACTAGTGATATTTGAATACGAGAGTGTCCCCGTTAGGACAATGATCTTCATTTCCATATTTACAATTTCTCAATTATTGCTCTTATCCGTACACGTGACCCCATCTTGACTAGCGAGTTTCCTAGAATCCAAAGTCGAAGTTATGAAATTAAATTCTTTGGTATAGAAGAAACATGATTCGTCACGATCATGACTCGTTGTAGTGGTTGGTTGCATTATGGTCCACGTAACTATTCAGAAACGTATAAAATTTGTGGATTGAGATATTTTTTATAGATCAACATACAATTGGTAAGACCGAATGAAATCCCATCAATGGACCGCATCCTTAGCTAATGCTCATTAGAGGTGCCAATTACAACCGAAAGTCCGCGGTTTACACCTATTGATTTCAAAAACAAAAGGATTACATGGGATAAACTATTACAAAAAACGATTTTCAACAGTTTAATTCGTCGCGGTACGGATTAAACTTAAGTTTATGGTCGGTTTCGATTTCTAACCGAAATTTTAAACATATTTTTAAATAAAAGCACTATTTTTCTAAATGGGTGTGGTTAGATCAATTAAACTTTGGTTCTGTGTGGTTATAGATTTTTAATTTTGGCTGTGTAGATTTATAAAGAGAGCCAAAATTTGTGAGAGGCTACAGACGGATCTTGTAATTGGGTTTTATAATGGGTCAAAACCCAATAGGCCCAATCACTTACTAAGGATTCAGGTACAATAAACCCAAAACGCGGTCGTTCTGAGAATATGACTCCGCTTTAGGTTGTTTTCCGGTTCGAGAAATCTCACCGCCGACTTGATAAACTCGGAGTTTCATTCACCGGCGATAATGGAGGCTATCGAAGCGAAGAGCAAGAAAGCAGGAGGAGCTCGTCTCTGCTGCATCTGCAACCAGAGAAGACCAGTTCTCAAACGACCCAAAACCCTTGAACAGGTAATATTTTCGAATCTCACTACTCTTGTTTAAGTGTCTAAGTTGTAACATCTCTTCTGGGTTTATCTAAGTCATGAATTTTGTCATTGATTAGAGTTTTTTAATCCTTTTGTTTCGTTTAAGATCTAAATTTGGAATCGAAGTTATCAAGTGTGTTGATTTTTTGATTATGTAGCATTTAGTGTAAAGCCAAGATTGTCTCTGCGGAATTTGGAAAAGATTTTAGTTTCTCAATCTCTTGCTAGTTGCTATTTGTGACCCTTTTCTGTATGAGCAATGATGTGTAAGTATTTTGTTATAAAGATATGCAGAGAGTGCTTTTATGAGGTTTTTGAGGAGGAGATTCACCAAGTCATTGTTGGGAATCGGTTATTCAAGTCCGGTGAGCGAGTTGCGATAGGTGCCTCTGGTGGTAAAGGTAATTTCTTGTACCTCCAATGGTATTTGTTCTATATTTGTAATCCGATAGTTAATGTTTCTTATATATCGCCCGTTCGGAGTATTTTAGCTTACATTTGAGTTAATAGGAGGATGGTGCATGGATTTTCTTTGTATCACCATTAACTAAAAAGCTGGTGGTGGTGATGCAGATTCGACAGTGCTGGCTTATGTATTATCAGAGCTAAACAGACGTCACAATTACGGGTTGGACCTTTTTCTTTTGTCCATTGATGAAGGGATAACGGGTTATCGTGATGATTCTCTCGAGACCGTTAAAAGGAACGAAGTCCAAGTAAGCTTTTCAATTCATGTGTAATGTGTTCTCTCTGTTTTTTATTTGTTCATGAAAAAGGCATTGCGCCGAATAGAAGAGTCTTAAGATGATCATTTCTGTCGATTTTTCATTTCAAGTATATATATATTTTTTTTCCAGTATGGGTTGCCTTTAAAGATTGTTTCATACAAAGATCTGTATGGATGGACAATGGATGAGATTGTGAAGATGATTGGTCTGAAGAACAATTGCACTTTTTGTGGTGTATTCCGTCGACAGGTGAGGAACAAGTTTCTTCATAGCATTCTCTCTTTGATCAACAATTTTTTTAGTTGTTGGCATTTGTTATTATGATTTCATGTCTGATTGATTCCTTGAAGGCACTTGATCGAGGAGCTGCGTTACTGAAAGTAGATAAGATAGTTACTGGACATAATGCAGATGATATAGCGGAAACCGTTCTCTTGAACATACTGCGAGGGGATATTGCTAGGTACATTTATTTGTTTCTGATGATGTTTTTTCTTGGTTAAAATATGTCTTCTGTTCCTTAATTAATTGATTCGTGACTTGGGCTACTGTAGACTAAGTCGGTGCACATCAATCACTACGGGTGAAGATGGTCCAATTCCAAGATGTAAACCTTTCAAATATACATACGAGAAAGAGATTGTCATATATCCTTTGCTATTTATAAACCTCAATAAATTTCTATTGCTGTTAATTGTCACTAGAAAATATTTTGAGACCTTAACGTAGCTACACGTATGCTTATTTCAAGAAGCTGGACTACTTCTCAACCGAATGTAAGCTTTGCGGATTTTCTCCTTCCTACACTCTTTTATTGCTTGTTTAAGCGAACTGGTCTCTACGAGGTGAACGAAAATTCGGTCAATTATATTAGAGTTGATTGATTTATTGTGATTGCAGGCATATACTCTCCTAATGCTTATCGTGGGTTCGCCCGTGAGTTCATCAAAGACTTGGAAAGACTAAGGTTCTTGTTCAACTTTTGCTGATTCTATCCGTCAACTAAATCTCCAACTTACATTATGTAAACTGCAGGCCAAGGGCTATTCTGGATATCATAAAATCTGGTGAAGATTTCAGAATTGCGACAACCACCAAAATGCCTGAGCAAGGAACATGTGAGCGATGCGGGTATATTTCTAGCCAGGTGAGACTTTTGCAAAAACAAAGAGCTTTCTCTATCACATCAAGTCATTTTATATATCAGAACTACCGAGGCTTATAAGAGATATGCATTGGTGCTTGTTATTTGTCTTCTTGAATGAAATATCTTATACAAAGAGTGAATGATGCAGAAATGGTGCAAAGCGTGTGTTTTGTTGGAAGGATTGAACCGTGGTCTGCCTAAGATGGGCATTGGAAGATCTCGAGGAGGAGGCGTAAATGGTGACCATAAGAAGGAAACAAAAGCTGGATCTACTGTAAAATCTATAGAGAGCAAACAATGTGGATCTCTGGATTTCTAAATTAAGAGGAATACACTAACAATGCAGAAACTGGTTCTGTACAAAAACTGGTTCTACCGATTGTTGTAAAATTTATTCTCCAAAAGAGAATTTTGGTTTTGCCTTTACTAAGCGTTGCGGTTGGAACATGTATGTTACGCAAATGTGGGTCTGCGTTTTGGTTCGATCTTTGGTTATGTGTATGTCAAATGAGATATATAGAGATACTTGTCTTGATTCGAAGAGCTCAAATCGGTTGACTTTAATGGCCAATGGCTTCATCAGCGCCACGAAGCTCCGGGAAAGATCCGGCCAAGGCGTTAGGTGCTGTAGGGTAGTTCTTCGCCATGTCTGGGATCTTGCTTCTGAGCTTCCGATCGATAAGTCAGAAGTACCGAATCCACCAGCTATGCCACAGAGGCTGGTTTCTCTGGTTTTAGTGATAACCCTTCTTGATCGTGGTTAGTGATTATTTAACCAGCCATGTTACTCCATTAATGAGGCTCAACCACTAGCTGATCAACTTAACTCCATTAATTTCAGTTAAACCTTGTTTTCAGGAGTAATAGTTGACAATTGTGCAACAACTGTTTCACCTAAATCTTTTAATTTGAAATTTAAACCATAGATTTTCGCTTACTTAGTTTATTTTTATTTTTTAACAAGAGACAACAAACTATATACTTCACCTTCAATGTCATGAAATAGAGAGTAGTTTTGTTTCTTTCTTACATAACTAATTCTGCAAATATCCAAATTATAATCTCTCTCTCATTTTCACAAAAAACAAAAAAAACAAAACTCATTCTGCAAGTTGAAATATACTATTTTAATGGTAAATGTGCCATAACCAACGTAGTAGAATTACTATTCTTAGCTTCTCGTGTGAAGCAAATAGTACTGCGTAAAACGCATTTACAAAAAAGGTAAATGTTTGGTTTTAGTGCCACGGCACAATGTGTACTGAGCCTATCATACGAATCCAAACAATGCTCCATTATTATACGATGTAGTTTTTGGTTCTAACATGATCTCAAACGGATCAAATATAGGCTTGCGATTTTCTAAAATTCAAAATCGATTGTCTGAAAAAACAATATCTAAAAAAAAATGTAAATATGTAAATCGATATTATTTTGTTTTCTTTACCTTGTGGTCTTTTATAATTCAGAGTCGGCTACATGAAAATCTATTATGGAATCGAAAACGTTGGACCACACATGGAACACCGAATCCATGTTCCATATTACATTTACAGTCGCTATTCAGATAAATGAACGCGTTTTGTATCCTTTTGG